AAACAGAGACAAAGAACTGAGTAAAAAAGACAGAAGATGCATCCTCCGGGAAACTCTCACTCAGCACAAAGAGATTCCAACTTCTGCTGTGAAACAAACCATTTTTTATAGACTGCATATTCTCCTCATTTAAATATATGCATTAGGAGGTGTGTTCTTTTCCTTTGTGTGGGCTGTCTCAATGTTAATTTTATTACCTCCTGCTAAAGAGCCCCAAAAGCAGATATACGGCAAACCCTTCTCGTATCAGCCGCTGTCCAGTTTGATATATGATTGCAGCTGCAGCGCTATCTGTGCCTCAAAATGTTTCCACAAGAAAGTAGTTTGTATTTTTAACCAAGCTTGCACACAATGTAATGCTAAATAATGACTATAAGTTTGGATCTAATAAGTAACTAATTAAAAACATTCTTAAAGAAATATAGTTAATTCTAATATAGATAAAATTATTTATAAAAAGTTTTAAGATCCTAGTGAACTTTTGAACCATGCTAAGGAATTTGTTAATTGCCTCTGTCTAAAGAGATTCTAGGCCTGTCTTTTCTGTAGAATCCTCCCTAAGAATTTATATAAGTTCAGAGATTCAGCAGTTGTTTTAGTTTGGATCTTTATCTAAATTTATGTGAATGTAGAGTGTACTTTAACTTTCTATGGTATATTTCATATGTATCAAAACTATCCTGTGCAGTATTGTGCTAATTTAAAATATTATTTCAACAGAGGGACTAAATACACTGAGGGTAATCAGGAGAACAAGACACATCTGGGAACAATCAAGGGGAAGACAGGACAACGAGGAGAACTCAGGACACAGAAACTCAGAATTAAACACAGAAAAACACAGAACCTGACAGAAGATAAACAAATACAAATTATGAGAACTTCCCTGTAAATAATTTCACAAATAAACCAAATGTCCACAAAATGAATAAACATGTTTAAAGATTACTAAAGTCTAGCAACTGATTAATATGTGACTCTAAGAACGTAAGCAGTAATTACACATCAATAATAATAAACCCTGCAAATTATAGCATCACACAATAAAACACATGAGAAATAAAGCATTTCAATTGCAAATGGTAACAGGAATAACAGCTGCATCTAATTAATCGAGCCTAATAGCTTAATGTTAAACACCTAACTTTTAGCTCACAACAATACAAGTAAACCACAACAAACGACCATAATATTCAACAGGACAAAGTGCAAATACAGCTCTTAGAAATTTTTGGATCTGAACGAAACCACCAACAGTATTACTTTGATTCAATGGATGGACACATTAGAAAGAGGTAAAAAATGAAATGTCATTGCCCAAACCCCCCCTTCCTTCACTCTCTACTCTCTCAGTCACTACTTCCTCTTCTGAGAGGGGAGATGTGCTACCACCTCTCCATCTAACGGGTTAATTGAGTTTCCTAAATCTGCTGGGATTTACCCTATCCAGAACTGAAGTAAACTCTGTTTAAGCTGATTTCCAGACAGGATTTGCCTGACTACTATCGGCCTACATCCAGATGTCCCACCCTTCTTCCCCCTGTGAATTAGCCAGACTGAGCAGCTTACAGCCAACTAGTTCCACAGAGCACATCTGTTAACGGTCGCTCCTTCTCTTTTTTACAACTTGCACTTGTTACTGAATCAGGTTAGTTTTAGTGACTGTGGCGAGTCCCAAGGATGTTGTTTTAAATTTGGGCTAAAGCAACTTATAAAACATTACCTAGTTTTCTTCCCCAGAATCAAACATCACAGTTATTTTACTACCATCAAAGAACTTTGAGGTGACTCATTAATTGAATGTCCACAACATCTTTTAGATTTTCTTCATGCTCTTATTTTATTAGTAAAGCAATTTTGCAAGGGTCAGTACAGCTTAATTAAGTAGCAGAATAATCAAATAAGTAAAATCAATCTAGCCTATATTTCCCTAACGCTGATACTAAGAACTAAAAAGGGAACCTTTGAGAGAAACGAATGAAGTTTGGTGTTTCGAACCCCAGAACTGGATCGATGATGAAGAAGGTGTTGCAGCAGGCGGAGGAGGTTGATTGACGAAGGCAGGGATCTCTGTTGGTCTGATGAGCTGTCATCTCTGCATCGATGGTGAGGTCACACAGGACTTGGGTCTTTATCTTTTCCTTGATCTTCATCTTTGCCTTGGTCTTCATCTTTGTCTTTGGGGTCTGAACCCAGCCAATGAGAGAAGTGCGATTTGAAGCCACATGTTGCGGGGCTGATGGGTTGGTCCCCATGCGCAGGACAGTCTTCGTCTCTGTGGCCCCGGCTCTTCTTCAGCTGCAGAGTTCTTTGTCCATCTCGGTCTTGACGCGAAGCTGCCTGGAGGATCCAACTAAAGATTCCTCTTTTTGCTCTCCCCTTATATCTCCCCTTATACGCTTTCGGTGCATTTTCATTGGCTAACAGTGTTGCTGTGCTTGCTTTATTGTGTAACTTGTTTGGACAGATAAACTCATATCCATCACTGTCTTAGAGACATTTTGTCCTGATGTCTTGGCTAATGTCTCAGGGTTGCTCAACATTCCTCCCATGTCCATCTATGTCCTAATAAGGTCTTGGTCATCTCTGCTTTTCTGTTAGTCCCCATTTTACCCCTGACCTTTCACCTACTATCTACCTCCAACACATCATCAGTGATCTTTAATAGCAGTTACATGTTTTAGATAATTTCAAGTTCAATGTCAAAATCACATTCATAACCCTTTTAGTTTCTTTGATTTAGCATTAATTTATAATTTTATGATAACCACAACTTATTACTTTTATTATTATTTGATACCAAAGTTACAGTTACTTGTTTTAATTGTAAGTTTTCCCTCAAGTGAGAGTGTAAATTTAAGTATTGTTATCAGTAAACCAATATTATATAAGTACTTTAAATCTTATCTAATTATTTAAAATGTTTAGATGTCATCCTTTAAAACTTTCATGCTTTTAAACAAGGACTGGTCTCAGCTATTTTTATACAGCTGCAAGCTGGAAACTTACTTCCTCTTTTTTAAGAAAACCTGCTCTTCCTGTCTCATCTCTCTCTCTGACTATGATTTCTTATGATTAGATGGAAAAAATAAGTATAATTAAAGCTAAGTTTGCAGGAGACAAAAACAACACACACAACCAGATTTTTTTTATTGCAGTCTGGGTCTACTGTTGGATCTAGATGTGATTTGTGTGACTAATTTTAAAGGAAACTTTATTTGTTGTTACTGTTAATTAAAATCTCCAGCATGGGGAAGAGGGATGATCTAGGATTGTCTTGACAGAAGTTTAATATAAGAGCCTCCACTCAATGTTCAAATTGTAACCAAGATGTAGCAAATATGAACAAGAAGCCACCCAGTTGCTGACATGAAATACTACATCTATAACACCTTGATAAAGAAAAAACACTAAACTGGAGGGTTGAAAATAAAGAATTAACAGTCTTTTTTTACACTGGAATTCATCAATATAGATCATCTTCCTCTTTCTAACTTTGAATTGTGTTCATGTGATGCTCTTTTTTTCTATATAAAGGACTTTTAATGTGAAACTCCTGGTGATTCCCACTATGAATACTGCTGGATGAATATTTCTTGACTTCCTAATTGTTCCTGCTTCCTCCACAGAGTGGACCAGCAGAGCTCAGAGGTTCCCAGGGTCCATCTGCCCAGCAGCATCAAACACAGCTGGACTCCATATTTATGGTCTGTAGATGAACAACAAATACTTTTCCATGAGTTCTGTTCAAAGTCACCTTCATGCTACACTTTGTAGACCAGAGGACTGTCAGTCTGTCCAACATCCATCTGGTGTTTGGCTCCATGATTTTACTCTGATGTTTCCTTCATCTATTATTCTGTTCCAGCTGCTGGAGGACAACATTGTTACTTTTGTGAAGGAAGAACTGAAGAAGATCAAGAAAGTTCTGAGTCCAAATTACCCAGAACATTCAGAGAGTCAGAGAGATGATGAAGTGTTGGAAGGTGATGATGAAGAGCAGAGGAGGAGCAGCAGAGATGTAGTGATGAAGATCACACTGAACTTCCTGAGGAAGATGAAGCAGGAAAAGCTGGCTGACCATCTGCAGATCAGTAAGAGGATTTTTTCAGAGATTTGAAATGATAGATAAATTACACATTTGCTGAAATGATGTAATCAAATTCAAAAGATGATTTTCTTTAATATCTGATTTACGTTATTGTGTTAATTTAGGACATTTAACAGCAGTTTGTCAACATCAACTTAAATCTGGTCTGAAGAAGAAGTTCCAGTCTGTGTTTGAGGAATTGCTAAAGCAGGAAGTCTAACCCTTCTGAACCAGATCTACACAGAGCTCTACATCACAGAGGGAGGGACTGGAGAGGTCAATGATGAACATGAGGTCAGACAGATTGAAACAGCATCCAGGAAACCACACAGACCAGAAACAACAGTCAGACAAGAAGACATCTTTAAAGTCCCACCTGGAAGAAATCAACCAATCAGAACAGTCATGACAAAGGGAGTGGCTGGCATTGGGAAAACATTCCTAACACAAAAGTTCACTCTGGACTGGGCTGAAGACAAAGCCCACCAGAACATCCAGTTCATATTTCCATTCACCTTCAGAGAGCTGAATGTGCTGAAAGAGAAAAAGTTCAGCTTGGTGGAACTTGTTCATTATTTCTTTAGTGAAACCAAAGAAATCTGCAGCTTTGAACACTTCCAGGTTCTGTTCATCTTTGATGGCTTGGATGAGAGTCGACTTCCACTGGACTTCCACAACAAGGAGATCCTGACTGATGCTACAGAGTCCACCTCAGTGGATGTTCTGCTGACAAACCTCATCAGGGGGAAACTGCTTCCCTCTGCTCTCCTCTGGATAACCACACGACCTGCAGCAGCCATCCCTCCTCAGTGTGTTGGCATGGTTGAGGTCAGAGGGGTTCAATGACCCTCAGAAGGAGGAGTACTTCAGGAAGAGATTCAGAGATGAGGAACAGGCCAGCAGGATCATCTCCCACATGAAGACATCACGAAGCCTCCACATCATGTGCCACATCCCAGTCTTCTGCTGGATCACTGCTACAGTTCTGGAGGATGTGTTGGAGACCAGAGAGGGAGGAGAGCTGCCCAGAACCCTGACTGAGATGTACATCCACTTCCTGGTGGTCAGACCAAAGTGAAGAAGGTCAAGTATGATGGAGGAGCTGAAACAGATCCACACTGGAGTCCAGAGAGCAGGAAGATGATTGAGTCTCTGGGAAAACTGGCTTTTGATCAGCTGCAGAAAGGAAACCTGATCTTCTATGAATCAGACCTGACAGAGTGTGGCATCGATATCAGAGCAGCCTCAGTGTACTCAGGAGTGTTCACACAGATCTTTAAAAAGGAGAGATGTCTGTACCAGGACAAGGTGTTCTGCTTCGTCCATCTGAGTGTTCAGGAGTTTCTGGCTGCTCTTCATGTTCATCTGACCTTCATCAACTCTGGTGTCAACCTGATGGAAGAAACACAAACATCTAAGAAATCTCCATCATTTAATGAATCTTACCAAAAGTCTCTCCATCAGAGAGCTGTTGACCAGGCCTTTCAGAGTCCAAATGGACACCTGGACTTGTTCCTCCGCTTCCTCCTGGGACTTTCACTGGAGACCAATCAAAGACTCCTGCAAGGTCTGCTGACACAGACAGGAAGTAGCTCACAGACCAATCAGAAAACAGTTCAGTACATCAAGGAGAAGATAAATAAGAATGTGTCTGTTGAGAAAAGCATCAATCTGTTCCACTGTCTGAATGAACTGAATGATCATTCTCTAGTGGAGGAGATCCAACAGTCTCTGCGTTCAGGAAGTCTCTCCACAGATAAACTGTCTCCTGCTCAGTGGTCAGCTCTGATCTTCATCTTGGTGTCATCAGAAAAAGTTCTGGATATGTTTGACCTGAAGAAATACTCTGCTTCAGAGGAGGTTCTTCTGAGGCTGCTGCCAGTGGTTAAAGCCTCCAACAAAGCTCTGTAAGGACACAGAATGTTAATGCAGTTATTGTTGATCAAGTGAAAACATTTAATGATGTGCTAAATATTGATTGATGTTGTTTTAGTTTATTTATTGATGTATTGTCTCCCAGATTTTGCCCGCAGGGATACATCAGGGAGAAAGTCTATTAATATGTAGCATTATCGAGATAACAACACCATCATCATTATACTTCATTTAAGAAGCAAAACTCATCTTTCTGCTAAAACTGAGACTGGATGAATTTAGTTTTATTGTGGAATTCATAAGTTTTGTTGCCAGCCTCCTTGTTCTTTTTAGATCAGACCTTCAAAGATTGTGACCCAACCGTTGACCAAATCAATTCACAACAAAATGCAATGTAAATATGTGGAACAATAGATAGTTCCTTCAATCTTTCAAAAAAGAACATAATAGATTTGAAAGTAAAATATTTTTTATGAATTGTTTAATAACATATTTTCCTCCCTGTCTCCTCAGACTGAGTGTCTGTAACCTCTCAGAGAGAAGCTGTGAAGCTCTGTCCTCAGTTCTCAGCTCCCAGTCCTCCAGTCTCAGAAAACTGGACCTGAGTAACAACAACCTGCAGGATTCAGGAGTGAAGCTTCTCTCTGCTGGACTGAAGAGTCCAAACTGCAACCTGGAAATTCTCAGGTAACTCTGGGCTCTTGACAAATTGCTGCATCTTTGGTGCAAAAAGAAACATAATTACAGATCCCAGCAGTTGGTTGGCTTTCTGATTTATTCCACATGTTATAAATCCATCCATCCATCTGTTCAGACCTTGGTCTCTACCTCATCGTTCTCATTTTCTCATCATGTGATGAATTGTGTATCTGCAGCTTATCAGGCTGTTTGGTCTCAGAGGAAGGCTGTGCTTCTCTGGCCTCAGCTCTGACCTCCAACCCCTCCCATCTGAAAGAGTTGGACCTGAGCTACAATCATCCAGGAGACTCAGGAGTGAAGCTGCTGTCGGCTGGACTGAAGGATCCACACTGGAGACTGGAAGCTCTCAGGTATGGAGGAACCTGCTGCAGGAGCAGAGAAGGTCTGATAGAGGAGGAAGAGGAGAAATGTCTTTAGTCAGTCTGCTGGGAAACATTTAGTAGGAAGCTAAATGTTTAGATCATCATCCAGTTTTCTGAAATATTCACAGATCAAATCTTTGATTCTTGTTGAATCTTTGTTGAATGTGATGCAGCTTCTCCTTTTTAATGTTTGTATTTCTGGATATTACAGTGAGGCCACAGCAGGTTTTCAGCAGCAGGGCTGTTTAGTGTTTCATTCCTTCATCTGTGTGTGGGAGTGTGGATGCAGGTATCCAGGTGTTGATCAGAGTTTAGATTGATTGTATTTTAAAGCTGATTATTAAATCAGGTTGAGCTTCCAGAAATGTTTCCTTAGTTTCCTGATGTCCTTTAAGGCTTCAGTGAGTTTCTTCAGGTTGTTACTGAGGGATTTCCTTTCTCCTCTTTGTTGGAACTTTTCCTGTGTTTGGAGAAATGAGTTGTGCTGCAGCAGCACCAACTGTCCTTCCTACATCCACTGCAGTTTGCAATCCAGATGTTGGACTGTTCCTGTCTCAGTGGAGGACAATGTGTGTCTGAGAGACATGTAATGTCCATGTTTGCTGCTGAAAGAGACTGATGGTCTGACCCCCCTCCTCCTTTCAGGGTGGAGCCTGCTGGAGGCCGATTCTTGACTCCAGGTCCATGGAGATGTAAGTGTGTTTTTCATCTGATTCATGACAACAAAGCAGCTCACATTCAACCATCTTCAAACTGTCACATCACTCATTCAGGAGTCAAAGTGTCAATAAATGATCAATAACTGCAGCTGGATTGTGTTTGTTCTCTCCATCAGATTCCTGTCAACTCACCATCGACACAAACACAGTGAACAAAAACCTCAAACTGTCTAAAGACAACAGGAAGGTGACATATGTTATGGAGTTTCAGTCATATTCTGATCATCCAGACAGATTTGATTTCTGGAATCAGCTGCTGTGTAGAACTGGTCTGACTGGTCGCTGTTACTGGGAGGTCGAGTGGAGAGGATATGTTGAGATATCAGTGAGTTACAGAAGAATCAGGAGGAAAGGAGAAAGTAGAGACTGTTTGTTTGGAGGGAATGATCATTCCTGGAGTCTGAGATGCTCTGATAGTTATGGTTACTCTGTCAGGCACAATGACATAGTAACTCATCTCTCCTCCTCCTCTGACTCTAACAGAGTAGCAGTGTATGTGGACTGTCCTGCTGGCAGTCTGGCCTTCTACACAATCTCCTCTAACTCACTGAGCCTCCTCCACACCTTCAACACCACATTCACTGAACCTCTGATTCCTGGATTTGGGTTCTGGTCCAGTTCTGGTTCCTCTTCAGTGTTTCTGAGCTGATTTGAGTCTAAAGAGTCTAAAGTTTTTCCTCCTGTCAAAGAAACTCTCTCACTGTTGAACAGATAGTTCAGTCTCTATAATCTATTTCTTGGTGAAACGATTCTGATTGAGTCCTTTGAATTTTTTTCTTCTTCCAGTCCTTTAAAGATGGAAGCTGTTATTATTCCAGGATTATTTCAGGATCATTCAGGATTGTTTCAGGACTATTGCAGGATTATTCCAGGATCCTCATGTTTTTCTGTTTGTTTCCAGTCAAAGCTTCACACTGAATATCAAGATGTTGTTTCTCTTATTTTTTCCTTTCATTCATCAGATTTCATTGAAATATTGATCAGTTTTTCTCAATCTGATCAGTTTCTGTTTCTATCGGCTCCTATTTTTCTCAACATGTCAGATTTGAATATTAAATTTTTCTTTTGTAAATTTGCTGCAGTTTGTCTTCATGTGTTTTAAATAAAAACATTTTTCTTCTGCATTTGGTTCATTTGCCGCTCATTCTGTTCTTTTTCTGTTCAAATTTAAATATTTGCATTGAAAATATTTTTTTCACCAACTCTGCCTTTTCAGAAAGTCCTAATTAAAGTAAAACATTCCCATCCCATGAAGGTCAGAGGTCAATGCTTTCAAGCATAAAGTGGGAAAATCTTAATATTTTCTGTTTCATTCAGAACTTCTACCTGAAACTCAGAACCTGCAGAACATTTTTTTCTTTGGAGAAAAATTCCAAAAGCTAACCAGAGCCAGCATTAATTAGCTAGCTAACCAGCTTAATGCTAGCTATTTAGCTAGCATTAATCAGCTAGCTAACCAGAACCAGCATTATTTAGCTTGCTAATATTGTGAAAAACATCATGTATTCTAAACCGACAGACCAAAAACGTGCAAGCGCACGCAAATCAGCCAACACAAAGCAATCAGACTTTACATTTTTATTCTTTTTTAGCACTAAAAAAGAGACGCTTACCATCACAGACTAGAAGTGAAAACAGGAGTCCCCGAGTCTATACAGCATATCATTAAAAACGGGAATATTCATTGCTTATGATCTAAGAACACGCCCAGTGGTCATCCGATGTCCTGCGTCACCTAAAACTCTATTTTCTTGGAGGTGGGAGTGAGGAGATGATTCAGTTTCTGTATCTGTTACAAATACAAACCCCTTTGTGTGAAAGTATGAGAGTGTAATGTGTGTAGAAGCATATGTGTGTATTTGACCTTGATAAGCACCTCAACAGCTCCCCCTTTTGGTCTCAAAGAGACCACACAATATAACAGGGCTGCCCATCCTGAGTAGACATTGTCCCTATCCGGACCGGAAACATTCCCCGAGGCTCATTACCGATGTTGACTTGTCTTCCAACTTTGCTGTTGTCTTTCATGTCATTTCATTTCCATTTGTTGGGGGTAAAACAGATAGAACACCCCACGCCTCCGAAGGCGGCGAATCGAAATCACAATGTTCATCTTACAGGATAAACAATAACATACAACAAAATAAAATGTTAAAGGAAGTTTAATTGTTAAACAAAAATGTGAGGGTTAATGAACTGTAAATGAGTGCAATTTCAAAATAATATGTGAATGTTAATAAACTGTGACATTAATAAAATGGTAAATATCAATAAGGGGTGAATAAATTTTAAAACAATATTTGACATTTAAAAATCAATTAGTAAAATGTTAAAGAGTAATAAAATGTAAATTGAGTAAAATATTAAGGTAATACTGTGAATGTTAATAAAACATAAGCTGAATAATAGTTACTAAAATGCAAAATGCCTAAAGTGTTAGGTAATAGATTTAATAAACCCAAAATTAATAAGATAAACTTTAATATGAAGAAATGTTAGACAATACTTGAAAAGAGAAAATGCAAACAACAAAATGTGAAGATCCCAGGCTTCAGTGGTGTTTCAGCTGTAAATTGGTACATTAATCACAGAAGGCGCCTGCAGCCTCACATCCCAGCACACCCAGAAAAGATTAGACTTTATTCACCAAACTCTGGAAAGTCGAAGTTCCACGGTCTTTTTACGTTTCCGGGAAATCATCTGCTAAGCAGGGGGCTTAACATCACTCCAGCTCCCCCTCTCTATGGTTGAAGTAATGCACCGCACAGCCAAGGACCTCAGACAAGGAACACAGCAGCAACCACAGGTGATCAGGAGAACAAAGAAGGTTGCTGCACATCTCAGCGATTTGCAAAGCAAATTAAATGTTTACCTGAATCTAAATTAACACTGAAAATCCTCCTCAGTCTGAATTCCCTGGACTGTTCTGTAGTATTTTTATTGGACAAACTACACAGGAAATTAGTGGTTATGTCACTTGGCTTTGGATGTTTTTTTTGACATGCTTTTGGTTGTGTGAAATCTTATTGGTGTCAACAAATATTGAGATATTTGTCAAAAAGATGTCATTTTATTTCAGCCTTCACTGAAGGCCTTGACTGGGTTAGGGACCCAAACAGCTCAGCAATTGTTGGAAAGAACATGACTTTCCAGGAGCAGGAGGAACTAACTGAACTGAGACAAAATGGTGGTTTAAAGCTGAGCTTTGCTGATCGACCTTTGGACAGTTTTTGGTTCACTGCTGCCAAGGAGTTCCCTGTTCTGGCAAACAAAGCTACTTTGACATTGCTCCCATTTTCCTCACCATATCTGTGTGAAGTGAGCTTCTCAAGCCTGGCTATTATAGAAACAGAGAGACTGAGAGCTGTGGAGGAAGAGCTTCGTGTGTCTTTCTTCAACTCCTGCCAGGATCTCAGCCCTGTGTTCATCCCAACATGCACAGGCTTCACACTAAGTGACTAAAATATACACATATTGACATTTTGTGCTTCAACTCTTCATATGGAGTTATTTTCTGTTTTCTGGCCAACAGAATGCTTGTGGACAGAATTAGTTTGTAAAACACTGAAGTTTTCTACAGTGTTTTATAACTGCAGTTTAACCTCTTTAACTTTAAGACCACATTGTTGTGCCTCTGTTCAGCTGCACTTTTGAAGTGAATATGTTAAGTGCAGTTTGAAATAAGAAATATAAAATATGACAAAAAATAAATATTTGTGTTTATTTGATTTCTATTCAAGACACTTTGATTATAATTACTATATATTTAATATCTGCGGCTATAGAGTATTATTGTTTACGTTTTACCAACTTACCAACTTTATTTATAAAGCACTTTAAAACAACCACAGCTGAAACAGAGTGCTGTACATAAAATAGATAAAAACAAAAACAGTTTAAAACAACA